TTATTATTATTATTATTGTTATTATTAATACTGTTATTGTTATTATTGTTATTATTATTATTGTTATTATTATTATTGTTATTATTGTTATTGTTATTATTGTTATTATTATTATTATTATTATTATTATTATTATTATTGTTGTTGTTGTTGTTGTTGTTATTATTGTTATTGTTATTGTTATTATTATTATTGTTATTATTAATGTTATTATTTTTATTATTATCATTGTTATTGTTATTATTGTTATTGTTATTATTGTTATTATTATTATTATTATTATTATTATTATTATTATTGTTGTTGTTGTTGTTGTTGTTATTATTGTTATTGTTATTATTATTATTTATTATTATTATTATTATTGTTGTTGTTATTATTATTATTATTATTATTATTATTATTATTATTATTATTATTATTTTTATTTTTATTTTTATTTTTATTATTATTATTATTATTATTATTATTATTATTATTATTATTGTTATTATTATTTATTATTTATTATTATTATTATTATAAATTTAAAATAAAAAATATATTAATAAAACATATTCACATATACTTATCTAGAATTTATTTTATAATAACAAAGGAAAAGTTATAAATTTGTAATAAAAAAGTTAATAAGGAATACCAAAAAGAGAGAACAAAAGCACTTGCAATGCACAAAAACGGTAAAATCAACCAAACAAAGGACACCCTAGCCCAAGAGCACTACACCAAGAGAGCAACCCCTCCACAACAAAACAATAAGGAAGAACAAACAAACCAAAACCAACCACCAAGCCACAAAAACAAGTAAGAAAAATTCATTACCCACTGATTCGATCTATTCACCAACCACAAGCAAAGTAGACCTCTAAAAAGAGCAAGCTGAAGGAAGGAGAAGTCGAACGCCTGCCAAAACAAAATAAGGGTCGTTGGACACCATCGCACCCATAAATACACAACCACTTGAGAGGGTCCCGCTCTCAATTAAACAGAGAAACGACAAAATCAAAATCATGGGCTTGATCTTACTTTCAAGCCAAATTGATAATCGAAGACATCTAGTGATTAACCTACAAGCGATCCTATTTAAAATAACTGTTCTGGATGTTTCAAATAATCTAGAGCATAAAATTCGATATCGAGATAAGACCTATAAACGTCTGCTTCCCCTCTCCTAAACCCTAAAAAATTTAAACACTCTAAGACTGACCTCAACAATGGACCTGGCTGCCCCACCCACCTAAGAACACTATACCAAATGGCTGAAGCAACCTCACACATCATAAAGAGATGGTCTGCCGACTCCATATGTTTTCCACACACGAAAAATATTACATACCACCACTCGATAAAATCTGACGCCTAAGAAGATTTGGCCTTATTAACAACCTATTATGGAACAACTTCGAAGAGCACATTACCACTTTAGAAGGCGCACAACTCTTCCAAACCCTAGAAATCCCATGAATCACCAGCTCAAACCTATTCTCTAGCTGACCAACCAAATAACTAAGCTAATCATATGAAGCTTTCATTGAAAAGCCACCTACCGAGTATGACTACCATACCCAGACATCTAGACGATCGAACCACACCAACTCAACTAGGAGACCAAGTAACGACTACAATACCTCATCCTCCCCCAAATCTAGAGAGGTCACCTTTAACTAATCATCCAAAACTAAACACCCCGTACTAGTCACCAAAATAGCTCACCATTGAGATTTTTGCTCATAGACTAGAAATAAGCGCTCAAACGAGACACATAACAGGGTTGTTCCGACCCAAATATCATGCCAAAACCTAGTCCGCTGCTCAACCCCGAGTCTCTTAACACGAGATGCTTTGAACCAATCCGAATCCACATTAGGTTGCGTCCCAAGAAGCTAGACCCCTCTCCATCACCGAGACACCCTCATAAGGCCCCAACCCTACCCTCAACTACGAACCAAACCATTGTGAACCATACCTCATTGAATAAATATCTCTCTATAATGAAGGCACATTCAGAAGAATCTTCCACTTTCATTTACTTAACATGACGAGGTTGACAAGCCTAAGATCTCTAAAATCTAGGACCCCAACCCCTTTGGCCTCACACACACAGTCAAAAGGTTATCAAAAGACAGAACCCCCCCCCCCCCACACACACACACACACACAATCACAATATCTTTGACATATGAAGATGGAACAATTGTAACATTCCTTGCCCTAAAACCTTCAAAAACACCAACCAGAACCACTATTTTCAAACACCAAAAGAAAGAGGAAGAGGTCTCCTTGCTTCATACCCTTCTGGATATTGATCTCCTTCCGTGGGCACCTATTCACCAACAAAAAAAGACTCCCCAAAAAGACACGACATCCAATCCAGGCTCTCCACCTACCATAAAAACCAAATATCACCAGCAAGAAATCCAAGAAAAACCAACTAGTTGAATCATAATCCTTCTCAAAATCTACCTTAAACACAAAACACTTCCTTTTCGTCCTCCTAGCAAGATCTAATCAAGGTTCCCCACTTAGAGACTAGTTGAGCCAAAGGATCCCATGTCCCTTTCTTCCTCAAGTTCACATCCACATGAATCCCTAATTACTTAAATTTAAAGGAACCCACCTTACAATGCAAATACTCCTCAACCCTATCCAAAAAAGTCATGTCCACGTTACCACCATAATGACAAATCTTGGCAAAATTCACTTCCAAGGCAAGCTCGAAACTTCTAAGAACCACCTTAATTGTCAAAAGGTTATCAATCGACGAAACCCCCACAATCATAGTATCATCAAAATATTGGAGATGAGACACTTGTAACCCTTCACTCCCTACCTTAAAAACTCCAAAAAGACCAACTGACACCGCTCTTTTCAATGAAGCGCTAAGGCCCTCAACGACAAAAAAAGGAAGGGTGCCAAGGGGTATCCTTGCTTCCGACCCTTCTGGATACTAATCTCTTTTGTTGGGCACCCATTCACCAACACAAAAAGACTTTCTGAAGAGACAGTAGCTCTAATCCAGGTGCTTCACCTACCATCAAAACTAAATCTCACTAGCAAATAGTCCAAAAAAGACCAACAAACCGAGTCATAAGCCTTCTTAAAATCCGCAAACACAAAACACTCCCTTTTCGTCCTCCAAACACTCTCTTTCAAATTAGATAAAAGAATTTATATCTCTTTTCCTCCTTCCAAATTCTCCCATTTCCTTCCCATCAAACTCTCAAACAAACCAAAAAGAAAAATTAAATCTTTCCAACACACTAAATGTATGAAATTGATAGGTGGTGCATTCGAAGAAAGAAAAAGATTCAAGATGAATTACCGAGCATGGTTTTAAAATGAATATGCATTTTCAATTGCAACCATAATATTGTTGATTAGTCTCTACAACAACATTAGGTGCATGGTTTTAAAATGAATATGCATTTCCAGTTACAACCATAAGATTGTTGATGTATTAGTCTCTACAACAACATCACATCTCACATCACTCAACAATTACAATTTGATTTTAAAATACGTGTGTGATTGCAGAGTAATCGTACCAAAAACTAAAATTAATTTCATCCATTTTATTTAAATTTATGTCATAAACTAATAGAATTTTCAAATTCAAAATTTCAATCTACTTTATATCTAATGAAAAATCTTACTTTTAATCGTATTTCAGCTATATATTTCAAGCACCTTTCAATCACTATTAATGGAGTACGATGAGATGAGATGATAATACCATGGATAAATAGTGCAGTGGCATAGTTATACCACTTTATATAGTTTGTGAAAATTCAAAATCATTTCACTATCGCAACCGCAACAATGCACAAAACAACAACCACATTAACATTAAGCAATTCAAATTTATTAGAGGTGACATGAACTATAAAAAGTAAACCTTAGATGCAATAATGAATTTTAGAATTAATATCTTGTGTGAAATATGCATGTAGTGCCAAGTTTAGAAGGTTCAAAAAGATTAATTCCACACCTCTTAAGAATATAGATTACCTTGGGAAAAAGATAGGCCTAATGAAAAATTAGATCTATAAGAGGAGTGTGAATATTGGAAGTTGGAACCAAAAAAAATGCATGAGTGTTGATGAAACCTATCACCTATCACCTATCACTGTGAATCTAGTTCTAGGCACCTGAATTTGAATATACAAGAATTGTTCCCTGGCACTAAAGGACAACACATAAGTTTAAATTTTGCAGCTTAAATTCCTATTGTGTGTAACAGTTTTGAGGCAGACTACCATAGCCCACATACAGTTTCACACCATTTCAGGATCTATGTGCTTGATTGTACTACTCTTTATCATGAATTGTGTAAAGTAGATAATAATAAAACAAGAACAACAATACACTTTGCATGAACATAGAGTTTCTTAATAGATAAAAAATAAAACCACACACCAAAGTACCAAATCAATCCCACATACATGAATATTAATTAATCACCCCCTCTTCTATACCATTCATAATTATACCCCCAACCCCAATAATCTCCATAACCTAACCTCTCCCAAATGTTAAGAAAGTTAACAAACATTAGAAAAAGTAAAGAAAATAAAGGATATTGATATGTCATTGCATATACACATTACAAAATTAATGAAAATGACCAACTTCAACTTACTCAGTACTCAGTAGTAGTAGTAGTAGTAGTACAACACACCAAATGAAGAACCTTCATATCTTGATCTTCATCCATGGAGTTGCACACATGATGAGAGAAGAGGATCCGAGGTTCCTCTCAGCACAAATTTCTCAACCTTGAGACATAAAACTAACAAGGTTGAAGAGTAGTAGTAGTAGTATAATCTATTTGCAGCTGACATGATCTCTCCGATCCTAAACTCTCTCACCTTTTCTCTATTTTTTTTTTCCAATGTAAGTAAACCAAACCCAATTGACCCCAAAAGAAGAAAAAAAGCAGCATTTTTTTCAGCAATAAACAGAAACCTAAAGGAGATAAGAATAAGATAGTTTTGGTCTTTCTAGATCAGAGATGAAACTGAATTAGAACCAGGTTGATCAGTACTCCAAACACTTCCCAAACCTGTTGCTGTTGCTGTTGCTGCTGTGTTGTTGTTGCTGTTGTTGCTGTTGTTGTGATTATTATTCCAATAAAGAGAAGAATTATTATCAGACAAACCCATATTCTCCATCTGGTTTTGAAAAGCAGCACCACCATTACCATTCAGGTTATTCATATTCCACTGATCCAACCTATTTTGTAGCCCTTCACCTAGTTTCACTTCTTTTGAATCCATCTCATGATGATGAAAAGGATCGCCACCACCATCACCACCTTTTGTTCCACCAACAGTACTCATGAACTTCTGTTGCAGTAGTGTAGAGCTAAGTAGAGAAGCCATAACAGGAGTAGTTGAAGTAGAAGAAGAACCAAAGATGGAACTGTAATTGTTATTATTTGAAGTACTAAACCCATTTCTGTAACTACCCTCATCTTCTTGATGATGATGATGACGATGATGATGATTAAGATTAACTTCTCCTCCAACAGCAGACATTAATATCCCAGATGAAAAACCTAATCCAAGACCATTCTGGTGAAGATTATCATAACCAGAAGCAGAAGCAGAAGCAGGATTTGAAACTCTAGTGGTAGAATTAAACCTTGTTGAAAAAGGAAAATTCATAACATCATGACAAGAGTTATTAGTATTACCACCATAAAGCATAGTATTGATATGGTTTGAGGTAGCAGCAATATCAAAACTATGTTGTTGATGTTGTTGTTGTTGTTGTTGTTGAGATTGAGAAGGAGGGTTTGGATTAGCAACAACACTAGAAGGATTTGAAGAAGAAGAAGGAGAAGCAGAAGAATCAATGTTGTTGTTGTTGGAACAAGAGTATGTTGGTCGTTTAAGACGTTTGTTTTTTCTGCAACCACCACCAACAGGAACATTTCTGAGTGTTCCACCTCTTGTCCAGTATCTTTTACAGGCTTTGCAGAAGTGTCTTGGTTGTGTTAAGCTGTAGTTATTGTAGTAACAGAATTTGGTGTTGGATGAATCACAACGTGGACATCTTAAAGCTTGTTGTTGTTGTTGAAGAAGCTCTTGACCTGGTTTTTCCATAACCCTATTACCACCAGTTGAAGAAGCCATTGAAACCTTATTATGATCATCTATATCACTCTACAATAAAAAAAGGATAAGAAATAAAAATGAATAAACTAAGAAGAGAGAGAGAGAGAGAAAGTGTTTTAAGGTGGTGCATGTTTTACACAGTGGTTTTATTCTGTTCCAAGAGGAAAACAACAAAATTTGGGTGGTCATGTATTTTTTGTATAATAATTGAGAAAGAGAAAGAGAAATAGATAGAGGTAGAGATAGAAAAGAGATGAAAACCTGTGTCCATTTGCTAGAAGTGATAATGGTTTTCTCATTATCAACATCACAGTTACCATTACCAAACATTTTGGTTTCTATATGAGACTAGTTGGTGCCTTGAGTCTTGCTTGATGGCCTTAAAAATGGAGGGAAGATGGCCTGATAAGGTGAACATGTATGTGTACAGTATTGTTTAATTAAATCATATAAGATTAAGAATAATATAATTAAATTGAATTGTGTAGCTAGGTTCACGTGATGAGTTTGGTTTAAGATAATATATAATGGAATTGTGCAGTGGAATATTAATAAAGAACATTCGAAATCCAAGAAAGGGACATAGAGGTAAAGTGGGATTAGGATGAATCTTGAGTGGTTCAAGAAAGGAAAAAGAAAAGAAACAACACACACCCACATATATACTCTCCAACGTAGTAACATTCTTTTGTGCAGAGATAGAATACATAGAGGGGGAATCCCTAAGATATGCTCATCATCCAAGGTAAAATCCACTTAAGTTTGTTCGTTAACCACTTTAAAAACAAAATTTGAAATTGAATTAACAAAGATCCGTCTCTAAATAAGATTGGGCCAATTGTGAAAATAGGTTTTGGTGGGAAAATATGGACGACATATTTTAGTTAGAGTAGACCTCATGGGGGAATGAGAGATGTTTCAATTTGATGGAAAAACCTCCATGCCTTAGATTTTATTTGGATCCATGGAATTGGGTGATATCAGCTAAAATAGAATGATATTTATTGTTTACATTAGTTAAAATCAGATGAATTAGATTGGAGTCACTACTACGAAAAATCTATTTTACAATGGTTGAAAAATACATATAATTACGCAGGTATAAGCGTTGTTGTGTAGAATGTGATTGTATATGCAATATTTACAATCACGAGTCCAAGAATCGTTGTGGTAAAATTTCTATCACAACGATTGATGTAAACAACTGTTGTAATGATTATAGTGACATGAGTTCGATACCCAACTACGAGTTTATTATAAAATATGAGATTGCTTGTTTTTCGCTGTCCCTCATTAACAATATACAACCATTCAAATAGATTTTTCGGACAATAATAAGAAAAATTACAAACATCCTGTAAATCATGATTTCCTCTTTCACATAAAATTTGATTTCCTCTTCTTTTCTATTTTATTTTTCAAACATAAGTTTTGTGTGAAAGATCCAAACTGACACCCATTTATCAACATTGTTTTGAAGAATTTGTGACATTGAATGAAATTCTATACGCTAAAAAGGGAATTATGATTTACAAGATGCATGCAATTCGAAAAATATTGGATCGTCTAAGTTGATTTTCAAGAATAACTTAATTTTTTAAATTATCATCTTAAAAATATTTTTAAATGAATGCAAATTCAATGAGGGGGTAGTGAAACAAACAATCACATATGATATAACAAACTCGCTAACAACATTTATCAACAAAAACATCGAATTGATTTACATAGATTGAGAGAGTTGAACAACTAACCATTGCTACCACCATCATCATCATCACCATATGAGGTTCATCTAGTTTGTGAAGCCATGAAAAAAATAAGGTGGATGGAGTTAACGCAATAGCTTCATACTTCTTATATTTCGTTTCATAACTTCTAAAACTAGATGAAGTTTGTTGCTGCTGTTGTTCTTTCTTCATTCACTTTTTTTGAGTCCTACAAACACCATGGAAATTATCAACATGTGAAACCACAAACTTATTTGTCAACAACACAAGATATAACAACAACATAGAACAACATACACCAATAAAAGAGTCTTAAACTATCTAACAAGAACAAATTCATCAGAAAACCAAGTGAAACATAACAACAACATACACGAAAATGAGAAAATAAGGAAAAAGAATAATACCTTTATGTAAGAAGAACAATATTGACCGCTATACTATAGAATAGAAATGCTAATGATGAAGAAGAAGAGAAAAAATGAGTTCTAGGGTTTTACTATGATAGATACGACGCTATTGTGAAAGAGTGAGAGTTAATTCACTTATATATAAATATACTCACAACGGTTGAAGTTTCCACCCGTGGTCGTAACTCTTTATTATATATATAAAAATAAATAAAATAGAAAAGACACGCCTTAATGTTAAATGAATAATATATTTGAGGGCACTAAATTTCGAACCCAAGAAAGCACATATTTTATGACTACGGTTATGGATGCAACCGTTGTTATATGTTAACAATTTTTAATAAAAAATAAAATAAAATATTAGCACCGTGGATTTAGAGATGTCACCATGGTGTTGGAAGAAGCGTCGTGAACTGGGCGTTGTTATTATTTGCGCGTTTTATAGTAGTGAGTAGTACTGATTTTATATCACTCTATCACTTACCATTACATTTCTTCCCTACGATTTGGGTGGAATCAAGATTTTGTCTTGTTTCATTGTAAAACATTCAAACGATGAAATAAAATCTCCATTCCACTCCCTTCTATTTTACTCCGTTCATTTTATGATATTTAAACTTAGTTTTAGAGACTCAAGGTAGTTGATTCGCAAATAAGGTTTAAAATTTATGGAAAATGACTAGAGTAATTCTTTTTGGACTGGTCATTGGCTAGGTCAGAGTCCCAAGTCTTTGATTTCTTAGATGATATGAAATTTAATTCAGGAGGAATGTTTGGTGAGTCACGTTGGTAAGTGGAAATGAGGATGGATCTAGAGTTGTAATCTTTGTTAGTGTAGAGAGTTATTTACATGGGAATAGCCTATATCTCAAGAGTTATCAATGTTGTTGTAGAGAATAACTTTGTCTATCGAGCTAAGCATTTGGATTCAGGTCTTAGAAGGTGACAACAATTTCCCTATTAAATTATCCAATTGCTTGTCGGAGGCCCTTTTTAGTTGCAAATGCAATTTGAATAGTCACAACTAAGTTTTATGTGTTTACTCACATTTGGAAAAGTCTAGTTCTACCATACAAGAGATAATCAATCTAGTTTAAATAAAAATCATGAACCAAATCGTTACTCTAATTTGTTTGATGTGTGGAAGGATACATAAGTCATCAGCGCACCTCCTTCTAAATTGTGACTTCACGGCTGAAATTTGGACTAAGGTGTGAACATGTATTTGATATCAATTTTATTCTCAAACTAATTTCTTTCGTTTATTTTATGAAGTGTATGAACAAGAAATTTGAAAGTAGCATGAGGGAATTTAGACAGGTGGAAAGAGAAAATAGCTATGTCTTCTAGTCGTAGTTAGCTTTTCTTCAATCTCAGTTTTAGTATTGTAGGGTTAGGATGGCTGTTTCAAATTTTTGTGGCAAAAGGGTTATTATGCTACTAGGAAAAATATGTTTAATCTCGGTTAGATATGAGGTGTTATCTCGGTTTCAAAAGTGAGGTAACGAAAGAATTCATAAAAAGTGCCCACTTTACCTCTCCGTTATTACTCTACCGAGGGAAACAATTGAACTTGTAATGGATTTGATTCCCAACAACTGCCTATTCTTTTTTAGCTCTACTTTACCTCTCAGTTATTAGTATAACCGAGAGAATATATTATATATATATTTTCTTATTTTATTTTACATTACTCACACCTCGGGGGGGGGGGGGGGGGGGGGGGGGGGGGGGGGGGGGCACTTGTCAACCTAAAACCTTAAGGTGATAGGTGAGTGGATTGTCCCACTTATAAATGCCCAAGTCACCACATTGTTATTCAATGTGAGACTATTTCCCCATATTACTCACACTTTTATTATCCTCAATAGATATTGCGTGCATTTGTTTATGATATAAAATAAGATAAATAAAATAAATTTTTCAGTTACATGATAATAGTTTATGTAAGTAAACTAACCTTAAACCAATTTTTTTGTGCTCTTACAATACATTACAAGGATCTTTTCCAAGATTCTTTAAGTTTAACTTTTTTCAAGACAAATTCTTTCATTGTCAATGTTTTGGTTTGACAATGACCTAGATATATAGTGGTGGTGTTCCTGTTCTGATTGGGTGTAGAGGATTTCTCGTGGACTGATGTGTTGGAAATATCTTAAGCGTTGTTGCTGTTATACCATAATTTTTGCCTCCAAGATCTCTTATTATCTCATATTACCAATACATCAAGATAACACATTAGGGTTGGTTTTCTCTTCTACTTCAGCCTATCTTTAAGTTTTCTTTTGAGGGATCACCAAACACCTTAAATTGTGTAACTTGTACATGTGCATCTTATGTTGATTAACTCTTAACTAACATCAATATATATATATATATATATATATATATATATATATATATATATATATATATATATATATATATATATATATATATATATATGTGTGTGTGTGTGTGTGTGTGTGTGTGTGTGTTTCTTTGGATGTTTATATTGTAGGTGATGATACAATTGCATCCATCTCATCATCTAACCTAGGGTTTTGAGGTGTAGTCCTCAGTCAAATGGTTGTTCAATGAAATCCAAGAGTTTGAGCTTCAAGGCTATGTTTATGACATCACAATTTTTTGGTTTAAAGAAATATCTCAATTTCATTTAAGGTCAAGTTTGCTTTAAAGAGAATGACATTCATCAAGAAGATTCATAGGTTCATGTGTTTATTTCCATGCCTTCTTCAACAAATTTCATTGATACTTAAGCTCCATCTTTAGTGTGCTTCCAGATAACTTCATTTCAAGGTCTAATGTGATTCATCATGCTTTATTTTGCCAAAAAAGTACAAAAGATTCAAGGTTGATTAAACAAGTTTGACCTAATTAAGTAAGTACTTGGTTTAGTGATCAGAAGTGCATAAATATTTCAATTTTCAATATTTTGAGTTGGTTCTTTTTGCTATAGATTCTTATCATCTTCTACAACAACTTCTCTTCACATGACAAGATCTAATTGAGCAAGGAAAATTATCAAAAGTTGAAGGGGATGCCAAGTTATTTTGTGCCTTCTAAACAAGGATGGGTTGACTTCTAAAGGCCATATCTTGCTCAAACTTTGTGATTTTGAAGTGACTCCAAATCCATGATTCTCTTAAAAGAGTCATTAATGAAATTCTGGCAGCAGATACTCAAT